CAGTCCCTTGTCTTCTCACTGCTGCACAAGGTTCACCTTGTGTATGAGTGAGTGAGTGAGTGAGTGAATATTTATAGTCACATCGGCAATATCTCACCCATATCGTGACTAAATCAAGTGAGTGCCTTGTGTATGACATACCAGTCCCTTGTCTTCGCACTGCTCCATAAGGTTCACCTTGTGTATGACATACCAGTCCCTTGTCTTCCCACTGCTCCATAAGGTTCAACTTGTGTATGAGTGAGTGAGTGAGTGAATATTTATAGTCACATCGGCAATATCTCAGCCATATCGTGACTAAATCAAGTGAGTGCCTTGTGTATGACATACCAGTCCCTTGTCTTCTTACTGCTCCATAAGGTTCACCTTGTGTATGACATACCAGTCCCTTGTCTTCTTACTGCTCCATAAGGTTCACCTTGTGTATGACATACCAGTCCCTTGTCTTCTCACTGCTCCATAAGGTTCAACTTGTGTATTACATAAAAGTCCCTTGTCTTCGCACTGCTCCATAAGGTTCACCTTGTGTATGACATACCAGTCCCTTGTCTTCTTACTGCTCCATAAGGTTCAACTTGTGTATGACATACCAGTCCCTTGTCTTCCCACTGCTCCATAAGGTTCACCTTGTGTATGACATACCAGTCCCTTGTCTTCTTACTGCTCCATAAGGTTCACCTTGTGTATGACATACCAGTCCCTTGTCTTCGCACTGCTCCATAAGGTTCACCTTGTGTATGACATACCAGTCCCTTGTCTTCTCACTGCTCCTCATGGTTCACCTTGTGTATGACATACCAGTCCCTTGTCTTGTCACTGCTCCTCAAGGTTCACCTTGTGTATGACATACCTGTCCCTTGTCTTCTCACTGCTCCTCAAGGTTCACCTTGTGTATGACATACCAGTCCCTTGTCTTCTCACTGCTCCATAAGGTTCACCTTGTGTATTACATACCAATTCCTTGTCTTCTCACTGCTCCATAAGGTTCACCTTGTGTATGAGTGAGTGAGTGAGTGAATATTTATAGTCACATCGGCAATATCTCAGCAATATCGGGACTAAATCAAGTGAGTGCCTTGTGTATGACATACCAGTCCCTTGTCTTCGCACTGCTCCATAAGGTTCACCTTGTGTATGACATACCAGTCCCTTGTCTTCCCACTCCTCCATAAGGTTCACCTTGTGTATGACATACCAGTCCCTTGTCTTCCCACTGCTCCATAAGGTTCAACTTGTGTATGACATACCAGTCCCTTGTCTTCCCACTGCTCCATAAGGTTCACCTTGTGTATGACATACCAGTCCCTTGTCTTTCCACTGCTCCATAAGGTTCAACTTGTGTATGACATACCAGTCCCTTGTCTTCTCACTGCTCCATAAGGTTCACCTTGTGTATGACATAACAGTCCCATGTCTTCGCACTGCTCCATAAGGTTCACCTTGTGTATGACATACCAGTCCCTTGTCTTCTCACTGCTCCTCAAGGTTCACCTTGTGTATGACATACCAGTCCCTTGTCTTCACACTGCTCCATAAGGTTCACCTTGTGTATGACATACCAGTCTCTTGTCTTCTCACTGCTCCTCAAGGTTCACCTTGTGTATGACATACCAGTCCCTTGTCTTCTCACTGCTCCATAAGGTTCACCTTGTGTATGACATACCAGTCCCTTGTCTTCTCACTGCTCCATAAGGTTCACCTTGTGTATGAGTGAGTGAGTGAGTGAGTGAATATTTATAGTCACATCGGCAATATCTCAGCCATATCGTGACTAAATCAAGTGAGTGCCTTGTGTATGACATACCAGTCCCTTGTCTTCGCACTGCTCCATAAGGTTCACCTTGTGTATGACATACCAGTCCCTTGTCTTCTCACTGCTGCACAAGGTTCACCTTGTGTATGAGTGAGTGAGTGAGTGAATATTTATAGTCACATCGGCAATATCTCAGCCATATCGTGACTAAATCAAGTGAGTGCCTTGTGTATGACATACCAGTCCCTTGTCTTCGCACTGCTCCATAAGGTTCACCTTGTGTATGACATACCAGTCCCTTGTCTTCCCACTGCTCCATAAGGTTCAACTTGTGTATGAGTGAGTGAGTCAGTGAATATTTATAGTCACATCGGCAATATCTCAGCCATAACGTGACTAAATCAAGTGAGTGCCTTGTGTATGACATACCAGTCCCTTGTCCTCCCACTGCTCCATAAGGTTCACCTTCTGTATGACATACCAGTCCCTTGTCTTCGCACTGCTCCATAAGGTTCACCTTGTGTATGACATACCAGTCCCTTGTCTTCGCACTGCTCCATAAGGTTCACCTTGTGTATGACATACCAGTCCCTTGTCTTCTTACTGCTCCATAAGGTTCAACTTGTGTATGACATACCAGTCCCTTGTCTTCGCACTGCTCCATAAGGTTCACCTTGTGTATGACATACCAGTCCCTTGTCTTCTCACTGCTCCTCAAGGTTCACCTTGTGTATGACATACCAGTCCCTTGTCTTCTTACTGCTCCATAAGGTTCACCTTGTGTATGAGTGAGTGAGTGAGTGAATATTTATAGTCACATCGGCAATATCTCAGCCATATCGTGACTAAATCAAGTGAGTGCCTTGTGTATGACATACCGGTCCCTTGTCTTCGCACTGCTCCATAAGGTTCACCTTGTGTATGACATACCAGTCCCTTGTCTTCTCACTGCTGCACAAGGTTCGCCTTGTGTATGACATACCAGTCCCCTGTCTTCGCACTCCTCCATAAGGTTCACCTTCTGTATGACATACCAGTCCCTTGTCTTCTCACTGCTCCATAAGGTTCACCTTGTGTATGACATACCAGTCCCTTGTCTTCTTACTGCTCCATAAGGTTCAACTTGTGTATGACATACCAGTCCCTTGTCTTCGCACTGCTCCATAAGGTTCACCTTGTGTATGAGTGAGTGAGTGAGTGAATATTTATAGTCACATCGGCAATATCTCATCCATATCGTGACTAAATCAAGTGAGTGCCTTGTGTATGACATACCAGTCCCTTGTCTTCTCACTGCTCCATAAGGTTCACCTTGTGTATGACATACCAGTCCCTTGTCTTCGCACTGCTCCATAAGGTTCACCTTGTGTATGACATACCAGTCCCTTGTCTTCTCACTGCTCCATAAGGTTCACCTTGTGTATGACATACCAGTCCCTTGTCTTCCCACTGCTCCATAAGGTTCACCTTGTGTATGACATACCAGTCCCTGTCTTCCCACTGCTCCATAAGGTTCACCTTGTGTATGACATACCAGTCCCTTGTCTTCCCACTGCTCCATAAGGTTCACCTTGTGTATGACATACCAGTCCCTGTCTTCCCACTGCTCCATAAGGTTCACCTTGTGTATGACATACCAGTCCCTTGTCTTCCCACTGCTCCATAAGGTTCACCTTGTGTATGACATACCAGTCCCTGTCTTCCCACTGCTCCATAAGGTTCACCTTGTGTATGACATACCAGTCCCTGTCTTCCCACTGCTCCATAAGGTTCACCTTGTGTATGACATACCAGTCCCTTGTCTTCTCACTGATGCATAAGGTTCACCTTGTGTTTGACATACCAGTCCCTTGTCTTCCCACTGCTCCATAAGGTTCACCTTGTGTATGACATACCAGTCCCTAGTGTTTTTCCCTGCTCCACAAGCTTGTTATAACGGTGCTAAGTGTATTCACTGTTCCATCTCCAGCTTCTGTGACGAACTTCTTTTTCTTTCTTGACATTAAATGTATTAACTGCACATTTATTAAATGACCATATTCATTATATGTTTGCAGAAAATATAACATAGCTACGCGAAAAATCGCAAAAAACGAAGCGCTATAATAAAATATTGTTCTATCATGACGTCATTTCTGGAGAATCGAACATGCGCCCGCAACTTGATGATATCGTAAATAGTACGACGTTATTTTTAAAAGGGAGTGTCTATTGAATTGTTCCCCACAGATGTAGCGGGTAGCACAGATGAACGCAAAGGAATAACGATCGCACCCAAATAGTGGGAGAGATATGACAATTCGGGGAGTCATCACTATTTAAATACGGGTAAATGATTTTAAAGCTTGTACAATTTATTGACATCCTTAATAAAGCAGTACAAAATGTTGATATCCCGTAAACGTAATAATCCACTCGTGGTCTCTGCGCCCCTCGTGGTTTATTCTCCCTGCTGTGTTTTATTTCACGATATGCTACTCCCACTCGTCAATTATTTCTTAAGTAAAGATAAATACACAGACATTCATCACTAACGAACGGAGTTACAAGATTAAAGCACAACTAAACACGATCTAGATAAGTACACATTGTTTCGCTTGTCCTGAGGAGGAATTCATCTGGACGATAGTAGTCCATCAGCTGTGTGGATATGATGAGGGTCCAGGAAATACTGCAATACCACACTAATTAACAATAGCTTACCATGTCTTAAAAGATTGGTCAATCAGAGGTTTCAATTCCAAATACAGTGCATAATCACGAGAAATACAATTCCTGGTATTTCTTAAGCATGTGTTTATGAATCGCAATGAAATAATGGTGCTGCCATGTGTTGACGAAAAGGCGAACGTAACAAACACATGCAAAGGCAGGTAAAACATTCACCTGAAAAATACACTGGGACAAGATAAAATGAGGAATTGTACGGACATCGATTTTGTCACTGGTGCGACAAACGTAGAACGCGTGTGCCTTCTATGGCATGGACCACGCGTCCTCCGACTGGTCCCAATGCATGAAGTTCCATGAAATAGCTTTTCGCGCATTCGTATTCATCTTATTCATTTATTTATTTCAGTACGTTGAGGTTCTTCCGGAGACTGGGGCTTAGTACAGACTGATCCAGTGTATTAGTGGATATGATTTGTGAGACGTTATACTGAAAATATAATCTTTATATCATATTGCCATTTCGACAGTACCTGCTGTCTGCGACCTTGACTTTAATTATCACATCAGTAACACAGAAAATATTGCTCCGTTTATTGAGGTAGATTTTACATGGATACAAATTCACTCAATGCATCTTGCCATAAATACCATCACACAAAGAACACTTGCGAGATTAAACACTCAATATGTCCGTAGGAACTCTTCTAAAATGGCTCCAATACTGTTGAATTGTGGCGGCTGTGATCAGCTTGCTGGAACAGTACTTCAGTTATATCACTGTGTGACTGCTCAAAGTCAAGAGGAATGCCAACGGTTAAAAAGGTCATTGACAATTCCTACTTTGATCTCCAGGATCGTTAGCAGGACGAAACTGGATTCGAACTCGAAGTGTAGCAGCTCTAATCTTATACCTGTTCCCATTATATAAATATTGCCCTGTTTTCCCCTTGAAGATATGGTTGCAATTAAGAACCTTGCCAGTATGTCAATAAAGGAACTGGGACAACTTAAGTATAAAAACACATTTTCTACTGTAGAAATATTATGTTTCACGTTTTTTCATCGCCATGGTTTGAATCCAGGTCAAGGTCAAGGTCACAGTTTACACTGTTCAAGCACCTGTCTGTAAATCCATTCGTATTATACAGTGTCCTCTCTAATCGGAATTGTGCCGTCATCCAAGCGTCGTAGATGCTGTTTTTATAGACGAAGTAGTAGTCGTCGGACGTTGATGCGTTCAACGTATAATGGTCCATAGAAACTTGACAGCTTTTAGTCACAATTCTTTCCTTAATAAAACAGTCGGAACAAAAGTTGTCTCTTTTCCATGTGTTGAAGTTGTCTTCCCCTTTAATGATATAGAGATCTATATTTGTATCTGCGCACGACATTACATTCATGACGGATCCTTCCAAAAGGTAAAATTTCCAGTAGTTGTAATCTCCATTAAGAATATATACTGAGTCTTCCTGTTGGTATTTCTGTATCTGATCTGTGTCAACGTCTGGCTGTGTGTTAAACAGATACGCCGAAAACTGAGAGGTCGAGTCCAGAGTGAGGCTGTCACAGAAAAGAGTTGATATCTTCCTGTTAACAATACGCATATCAGTTGGAGTCACATCCTGTTCGAAAGGACCGAACACGCTTAAAGCACACACCATCGCCCCAACCACTGCCAACACAAAACAATATGTCCATATGATCTGAGCACGTTTCGCACGTGTCATCTGTCGCAGACAAAACAGGTAACCAAGGAAATAGCAAGCTCCACAACAGCACTTCAAACAACATTCGTCACATTGCTCGGGGCTACTGCTTGACCAGTGGGTTATTGGTGTATAGATGGCGTTGTACTCCCCACTATAGGTGGCGCTGCTTCCGAGAAACACGGACGTACTATCCGAGTCGAGCCCGCCAGGTTGGTTTGAGTTGTTTGTCATGATTGTACGTTTAACATCGGTGAGGTTTGGCTCTGGAATAATATCAGGGAAAAAAACATGATTAGCGGAACATATGCCATTTTATTTAGTGCCTACATCACTTCTTCCGTACTTTGTGAGCGGTCGGGTAGTCTAGTGGTTAAAGCGTTCGCTCACCGCACCAAAGTCGAGGGTTCGATTTCCCACATGGGTACAATGTGTAAGGCCGCCGCCGTGATATTTCCGGAATATTGCTAGAAGCGGCGTAAAACCTTACGCACTTAGTCTTCCATGCACTACCTCATGGGGGATTCCGGGTTAGAATAGCCCCATAATTTCGAATATTTTCTCGTTATTTCAAGTTTATTTAAAAACATCGAAATTTCAAGTTTTTCTAATTACCTCGATTACCTCGTGATTTCGAGTATTTTCTCGTTTTTCAAGTTTCTTTCAAAAACTCAAAATTTCGAGAAAATAATTAAAATAACGCGAAAATAATCGAAGAAATGAGAAAATACTCGGAATTTCGAGAAAATAATTAAAATAACGAGAAATTTCGATTTTAAAAGTAAATTAATGCTACCAAAGTGGCACCATGAGGCTTTAGTAGTCTAGTACTTCCTTATTGGATACCGCATAATCACAATTACATAGAGTTTCAAAAGAATTCAACAATGCTCTGTTGAATACGTTGATAGAATTAGACTCATACTGCACGAAACACACTCTCGGTTATCAAGGGTCGTGGCTCTGTAGCGAATCGATCCAATGGGTATAATGTAATGATACACTTGATCGGGGCGGCAGTAAACGAGATGCAACACGTCTGAGGTGAGGTACCACACACCTACTTCAGTGTACAGTATATCAAGAGAACAGTTTAACACGTAGGTCAGTATATCTGTATTATGGTACAAAATATATGTACAACTGGACAAATTCATGTCTCGATACAAGAAACAGTAACCCCATTACAAGATCTGAACACTCTGGCACAATGCATGTGAACCATTACAAAGCCACAGGTTACCAGTACAACCCACATGTAATACATTTTAACACACCTACATGAAGTGCCACGGTACTACACACCTGCGTCACGGTACAACACACTGGAACCGAGATACATTCACACAGATGTGCCACAATAAAACACATGCACGACAATCTACACACGTAGCATGGTACGACACACCTGTACAATAATAAAACACATGCACGACAAACTACACACGTAGCATAGTACAACACACCTGTGCAATAATAAAACACATGTACGACAATCTACACACGGACCTTGGTACGACACACCTGTACAATAATAAAACACATGTACGACAAACTACACACGCAGCATGGTACAACACACATGTACAATAATAAAACACATGTACGACAAACTACACACGGACCGTGGTACGACACACCTGTACCACAATAAAACACATGTACGACAAACTACACACGGACCTTGGTACGACACACCTTTACCACAATAAAACACATGTACGACAAACTACACACGTAGCATGGTACAACACACCTGTGCAATAATAAAACACATGCACGACAAACTACACACGTAGCATGGTACAACACACCTGTGCAATAGTAAAACACATGCACGACAAACTACATACGTAGCATGGTACAACACACCTGTACAATAATAAAACACATGTACGACAAACTACACACGTAGCATGATACAACACACCTGTACCACAATAAAACACATGTACGACAAACTACACACGTAGCATGGTACAACACACCTGTACAATAATAAAACACATGTACGACAAACTACACACGGACCTTGGTACAACACACCTTTACCAACCACGATGATACACCTGTACCACGGTACAAAACACATGCACTTCGGTATAACACGTACGTACCACGATACAAGAAACAACCTGTTCGACAATACGCTCAAACACGACAAAACTCAACACGCTTCTACAACAATAAAAACATACAATGCTACAAGACACCTGTATTACAATCAAACACACCTGTACCACGCTGATACAACTGTACGACGGCAACACATACGCACCACTAGATAATACAATGTCATATGAACAACGATACAAAACACATGTACTACATTAACACAACAGTACAACTCACCTATACCAGGGTACAATACACCTGCACAACGGAACAACCTTTGCCACGATAAAACACCTGTACCACAATACCACACACCTGTACTACGGTACAATAGACAAAATAAACCACGGTACAACAGACACGTTACGCATTAACTGTGGCAAAGGGAAGGCGAGATTGTGAGGACGTACTGAATATACAACATGTCCGATAAGGGCGACATTTGTCCACATCGACAACCAGAGATCGTGATAATGCAGGTGGCTACACATCATATCTGCACGTATGTAGAGAAGTTAGACACATTAATTTCCTCACTGTTAATACATGTAGTCAACATGTTGTTTGTTTGTTGTTTAACGCCCCTTAGCAACATTCCAGTGACCTGTAAAGAATCTAGTGTGGACCAAACCATCAATGAGCATCGATCCAAGCAATTGGTATACGATGGCATGCGTCAACCAAGTCACCGAGTCTGACCATCTGATCCAGTTTGTAGCCACTTGCGACAGACATAGGTTGCTGATATATTCGTCTTACCCGGAAGTGTGCGAGGCGTATGTATTGATAGTTGAATTTCAAAATACCTTTGACAGAAAGGTAAATAGTTCGTACGTGACACAACTGTTCACATGTCATTGTGAGTGAGTGAGTGAGTATGGTTTAACGCCGCTTTTAGCAATCTTCCAGCAATATCACGGCGGGGAACACCAGAAATGGGCTTCACACATTGTACCCATGTCGGGAATCGAACCCGGGTCTTCGGCGTGGCGTGCGAACGCTTTAAACGCTAGGCTACCCGGCCGCCCCACATGTCAAGTGAATATTTATAAAATTAAAGTCCATCGCTCATTTAGAAATCCGCACACCCCCTAAAGGTAGGAGAGTATTAATATATAATTAAAATTCAATTAAAATATAATTAAATATACATGAGTAGCGCACTCATAGGCATAGCTAATTTTACAACCAGAACTCCAGATTTGGAAGTTTGATGTTCGATTGTTGTTGAAGGCCGCACTCGAAAATATTCCAGCTATAAAACGGCGGTATGTAAATAATCGAATCTGAGCAAGGCGAACTAGTGATTGATATTGTGAGCAATGATAAGGCTCAACTAAATACAATGTCTATAATTGAATAAAAAAATATTTAATTTAAAAAAAAAATACAATGTCTATTTTAGCTATAGTATATTTACAATCCTAAAACATTCGCTTGTTAACACAGACCCATGGTGAATGTATCCGTATCCTGCTTTTCCGTTACTCATGCCGAAGTTTAGCGGAATGTAAAAGAGTTTCTGTCAGAATAAACTATTCAACTTTTACGCTGTTACATTATGTACATACAAAAGCATCAGGTAATACATACAAGTCACACTCCCGCATCCCCCAGGCTGAAGTATGTCAGTACACCATAACAAGGTGTCTACTTTCACAATGTGGTTGGCCTGGCTCCTGTTTCTTCCGCCTGGCCCTACACTCGAGAAAGTGTCGCAAACCGACTCCGTTGACTGTGTGCTGATTAACTACACGCGGTGTTCACGAGACAATGCCCACGAGTAGTGATAAAACCATAGCTGATATTTGCACGTGATATATCATCTCGCTGTACTTATGATATCACGACCACTTGAGTTATACAGTGATATACACCCCTTGATAACACAGCGATATCGCTGGTGTGTACACAGCTCCTTGTGACGATATGTGATTTGACGAGTTGAAATGTCTCGTCAAGGGCGCTGTAGTGGAGTTGGTGATGAACGTTGTACAACATTGTCGCGTATCGCTAACTACACAATGAGAATGTTAATAATAGTATAGATGTAATAAACGTTGGCAAATAACAATGAACTAGCATCCAACGCCACAACAAAACATTTTTTCAAATGTTGTTATTGCCGTCAGCTATATTGCAGCTGTGATCTGGTTGCGTCAAATAACATTTGTGTGAACAATGTTTTTTCAGATGTAAACTTTATATCGCTGTCCAAAATAACGAAGAGACATAAAGAAACCTCCCTCAGACACAATCTCTAACTTTTATGATCAAATTAAGTGAATAAAAATCAATAATTTGAAAATATTCTTTGCTTTTACATCAGATTCTGATCCTTGGAGATCCGGGGTAAAATAGGTCTTCAGCAACCCATGCTTGCCGTAAAAAGGCGACTGCTTGTCGTAAGAGGCGACTAACGGGATAGTCACGACGGCCTCGAACTGACCCCACGTGCAAAAATAATCGTGACTTTTCGGACCATATCCTACACATATAAACCGAATATAGTCAGGGAGTGTTGTATTGACTTGACACCAGCAGTGTATGACACATCGTCGACCTGCGCGCACTTCCTCCTCTCAGGAGGGTTGTCATGGCGCAGCTCATCTGAACCAATCATAACACCGTGTCGACAGTTATGTGACGTCAAAGGCCAACATAACCTTAAATATCGTTGAACCAATCACAACACCGTAGGTACAGTAATGTAACGGCACAAGGCGACCTTACCTTAAATATCGTCTATCATGATTAAAATTGTATTCATTGTTATAATTATACGTATGTACTATTAAATGATAATGGCGACAGGGAAGCAGAGGGAAATATTTGTTTTATCATATAATATTATTCTTCCATTAATTACAGTTTTTATCTAATTAACGCGATATGTTCAGTCCCTTAAGTGAGGTGAGGTGAAATGGGGTTTAACGTCGCGTCCAAGATTATTGCATTTATATAGCTACGTGAATGCACGTGTGTGTGTGTGTGTGTGTGTGTGTGTGTGTGTGTGTGGCTGCTTGTACTAGTCCAGACTGATGCCGATTTATAGTGCTAGCCCACTGGGATACCATGCCGCAGTTTAACATGAATACCCCACTCAGACACAGTATACTGACCCCAAACCGACCGGTCCTTGTTTTAGCCCCTTAATGCCGAGCGCCAGACAGGGTAACAACAAGTACCATCTTTTAACGTCTTTTGGTATGACGTGGCCGTACCCGTGAAGATCCGGGGTAGAATAGGTCTTCAGCAACCCATGCTTGCCGTAAAAGACGACTATGCTTGTCGTAAGAGGCGACTAACGGGATTGGGTGGTCAGACTCGCTGGCATGGTCGATTCATGTCATCGATCCCAATTGCGTGGCTCGATGCTCATGATATCAATCACTGGATTGTCTGGTCCAGATTAGAGACCGCCGTCATATAGTTGGAATAATGCTGAGTTCGGCGTTAAAAGACTTTCTGAGAGGGATCCACTCGGTCAGGTTACGATGGCACGCATTCAACAGCAATCTCCGAGTCTGACCATTTGATCAATTTGGTCGCCTCGTCTAACTATGACCATCATCATTATTTACGTGCAACTTCATCAATGGAATTTCGTACAGATTAAACTAATTCCCAATAAATAGCGAAACACAATCCAGACATACACCCATTGTTAGTCTGGACACTGTTAATCCAGATACCCCAACTTCCGGACAGTTAATGTTGAGGACGTCAATACGTGATTAAAGTGAAATCACAAGAATTCATTATTTGTTTATACGGAATTTCACTGTTGATGGGAAAGGCTTTACGCTACTATTAGCATTATTCCCACCAGTCCGGGGACATAATCAACGGGCTTCACACAAAGAGGGGACGGTCGGGTAGCCTAGTGGTTCAAGCGTTCGCTCGTCACGCCGAAGACCCGGGTTCGATTCCCGACATGGGTACAATGTGTTAAGCCCATTTCTGAAGTCTCCCGTCATGATATTGCTGGAATATTGCTAAAAGCGGCATAAAATCAAACTCACGCACTCATACAATGAGCTAACGTGTGGAGTCGAACTCTTTTCTACAGCGTGATGCGCAAACGCTTTAACCTCCGGTAGGCCCCGTAATATATATAGCAATGCTAATCTACACAATGAAAGAGTTATAAACCTCATACAGCAATGTTACAAATGAATACATAGCAAAGAGTAATTTAATATTATTTAGTCAGCCTTCAAACAAAAAGTCTTTTATCAAAAGGACAAAAATACGCTTCTCCGAACTTATCTAAAGTTTAGTACTAAACGAGGGGAATGAACACGCGTAAACGTCCTGCTATCGCGTATAATGAGGAAATGATGAACGTTTCAACTCTCAACTGATATCATAGCGACATGGAAGCACCTACTTCTCAAAAGTTAACAGTTCTCGGAAACCGGTTGTAAAGCAAAACAAGGATTGATCATTGCACGCAATGACCTACTTATGACTAGCGACGCAGTACGTTGGAATTCCCACTCCACCCTGACAGTAAATGGTCAGTTTTAATAATACCCTTTCTTCTCGATGTCGACAAACTACCACGACAGCTGTACATAACAGGCAAAAGGACGTCATAAATAAAAGTATTGCTAGTCGCATGCTAGATGGGTTATGAGTCGGCGAGTGAGTATTGTATTACGCCGCTTGTAACAATACTCCAGCAATATCACGGCGGGGGACACCTGAAATGGGCTTCACACATTGTACCCATGTTTGAAATCGAGTCCGAGTCTTCGGCGTGTTTAACACAAGGCACCCACGCCGCCTCTAGATGGGTTATGAGCGGTAAGGGAGGGGGTTCGCTGTATAAAAATGAGCTTATATATTATAGGCAATATATTTCGCTTGACATGTTGGATATCATGTAAAATGTTTTTGAAGATACATTCGGACCCTCCTTGTATTGTATGTCTTGAAACAAGGAGCGAGAAAAAATCTTCAGCCGCTAGCAAAAAGACCCCGGCAGTTATGCTTGGCTGTCATTGCGGCGGCGATCCCTTTGATGTTTTTTTCTGTTTAGGGATACCCTCTCTGTACCCTTGTGGCCGAGAATAACAAGCAATGCCAGGATGCTTCTAAAAAACTACTCTCGGATACCGGATATTAATCAATACGTTTTGTTCTGCGCGATTTATCACACAATCACTCCTCACACACTTCATCCAGATACATAGCTTCAGATGGTCGAGTGAGTGAGTGAGTGAGTTAATATTTAACGTCACATCAGCATTATTTCAGCCATATCGTGACGAGAAAAAATATATTCAAAAATATATATATATTTAGACTGTATAAAAACCTGTCGTCGAAGGACAGTAACATAACTAGATTTGTCACAGATTTTATTTAAAACTAGTACATAACCATAAAAATATAATACCATACGTAACAATACAAGATAAAAATGAGCTATAGATCGCCAGCCACTGAAGAGAGATCACCATGCTAGGGTCCATGGGGACTAACAGTACTTTTGCAACCTGCATGGACCTTCAGATGGTGGAATGGAGACGTAAGTTAACTGACTGTATATATCCTGCGCTGAGATATCAGGACAGCGAACAAAACCAATCACGAACATGTATCCATTAATACAATAATCCAGATGAATAGTCATATCAGGTCAATTTCCAAGTTCGAAAAATTTCTAAACTCATAACGCAATATTTATGAGTGTGTATTTGACAGCCTTTCAAACTCAAATAATCAAACATTAGTCTAGATAATCATTTTTAAAACAATTAAGATAAATAATGATTTACCTTGCACCATCATACATGGATCACCTTCAGCTATTGGAACAGGTTCTGTTTACGCCGTCTATGTACTTTCATATATTTACTAGTAATAACCGGTATTGTAGTTGCACAGGAAGACCCACGCTGAGCGAGAACTGTATTGTGACGTCACAGAAGGGGAATCCCCGTATCTGGGCTAACTCGGATCCACATTGGACGGTATGCGCGGTGTTTGATCTACTCTGTTATCAGTATTCAGTCAATAATCCTTTCAATGTATAAATCATTCCTGCTGTTGTTTCGTCTTCGTCATTTAAAACCATGATCGGTATTCCATAACACGACGCCCCGGTGTATTAATAGCAGCGAGATACCTAACATACGTTATCCACAGGCGCTGGTTCATTGTTTTGTCGAGTCAGCATATCTCGCGGGATCGAGGCAAAGTCCGGTTGCGTCGGTTTCAGATAGGGGGTGCTAGGTCATGTTGCTCGGAGGATGTGAACGGGCTGTGTGCGGGGTGTTCTTAAAATGTTTTTATTGTGATTGCCTCGGTTTATGGTTTGGTTTATTTGTCAACAATATTCCAACAAGATAGCGGCGGTCTGATAATAATCGTGTTTGTAATAAATAATCCAGTGACTGACACAATGAGCATCATTAGCGTTTGGCATACGATGACATGCATCAACCACCCAATTCATTTAAACGCCACTTACGACAAACATATAGTGTGTGTGTAATCTAACGGGAATCCCCATCGGTGTGGTCAGTTCTTTAGTAGTTGGATATAATATAATAAACAACGATAGTATACAAAAAAAGAAACGTAAAAGGCGAAAAACGGGATTGTCTGGTCTAGACCGCCGTCAAATAGCTGGGATATTGCTGAGGGCGGCGTTAAACAACAAACCAACCAACCAACTTTTGGCCATAAAAGCAAAACTAGTGGTGCACAATGAAGAGGTTTAACGTGTTATACTGTCAGTGACAAATTTCCCGGATCAAACCTATCACAACAAAGACATGCAAACCATTAGTCGGGAAACACGTACGATTCGGAAAAAACCGCATCCTGTTCATCAACAAAAGGGCCAGGGTTTGGTCCATATCCAGGGCAATCTTACGGCAGGACAACGCTCGACCGCATACAGCACGGATCACAAGAGCCTGTCTACACAACAATGTTGATGTTCTCCCCTGGTCCTCCTGATCCCTGGATTTGAACCCGATAGAACACATGGGGGATGAATTGGATAGACGGCTACGTCGACGTCAACCACAACCACAACCACAGAAGTTGCAGCAGTTGGCTTTTGCGTTGCAGGCCGAGTGGCTACCATTCCCCAGGATGTGATTCGCATAGTCGTCTCTTCAATGGGCAGGAGATGTCAGGCCCCTATCGATTCCAACGGGGTACATACGCGTTATTGATGGTAGCTGACCTTCACCTTGGAGTTATCCTACGTACCGAAACTGAGATGACTACAATCACCAAGTGTTCTCTCCTAAACATTTTGGCTCAATACCTTGTACGGTTCCTCGTATAAATGTATTTCCCTACCACACAAATATCTGGCTTTGCGTTTCTTTTTTTGAAAAGTATACATTAACATGGATGACAACTGATTTGTTAACGCAGTTGAACGTCATGCGCGCGCACACACGCACGCACACACACACAGTCCCAGAGATTCAATATCAGTGTATTCTAAACACTCTGCGAACCCAGTGTCAAACACATTCTTTTTTGCACATGTTAGATACGCTGTTAACTATACTGGGAGTAAAGGCCGTAACCAGGTCGTAATAATGACACAAATAACAGCACGTACACACCTTACTGCAAGGGTGAGCTGCCATACTTGTCATCACAAGATCCCGTTTCTCTAAATCGTATAGCTGTTGACAGCTCTACCCACGATAGTCTACTTCCCGGTCGCCGCGACCGCCTCCGTGGTCTAGTGATAGAGCGTTCGCCCGGAGAGCGGAAGGTCCGGGGTTCGATCCCCGGCTGCGTCATACCAAAAGACGTTAATAGATGGTACTTGTTGTTACCCTGTCTGCCGATCGGCATTAAGGGGCTAAAACAAGGACTGGTCGGCTCGGAGTCAGTATACTGTGTCTGAGTAGGGTATTCATGTTAAACTGCGGCATGGTATCTCAGTGGGCTAGCACTATAAATCGGCATCAGTCCTGACTAGAACAAGCAGCCACACACACACGTGCATTCACGTCGCTATATAAGTGCAATAATCTTGGATGCGACACTTGATGAACGTTCTCTTGCACCTGCCTGGATTGACACACGATAAGATTTACTATTTGAAACACACCAATGTGACATGGACGTTTTGTGGAGTCCGGTTTCGCTGTGATGATAAGAAGTACATTCCGAAATGATTGTTGATTCTTTTAGACGATTTTGATATTGAGTGAGTGAGTGAATATTTATAGTAACATCGGCAATATTTCAGCCATATCGTGACTAAATCAAGTTAGACAGTCATTATACTACAAATTTGATTATAAAACCTGTCGTCAAATGACAGTAAAAGAACTAGATTATCACAGATGTATATTTTAAAACTAGGAGTGAGTGAGTGAGAGAGTATGGTTTTACGCCGCTTTTAGCAATATTCCAGCAACATCACGGCGGGGGACACCAGAAATGGTCTTTACACATTGTACCCATGTCGGGAATCGAACCCGGGTCATCTGCGAACGGTTTATCCACTAGGCTACCCGACCGCCCCATTTGAAACTAGTATGGAACTATAAAAAGATATCACGATAAATAACAGTACATTATAAAAAAACGGGGCTGGGAATCGCCAGCAACTGAAAGTAGGCCACCATACCAGGAACCGTGGGGACTAACACTACTTCCGCTATTTAAGCTGCTGGCGATTATCATCAAGTTTTTCAAAAATTAAAACAAACAAGTATACTGCGACTAAAACGGTAGTAGGAGTAAACAGACCCTCTCAGGGGGACAATAATTTTACTTCAATCCTCTTTGAGAATACAGAGACTATCACTCTCAGTTAAAGGTTAGACACTACTGATACATTAATATGGTAACTATGTACACAGATTCAAAATGTATCAAACAGTTCAATTTCGTTTAAAAAGCTAATTATCAAATGAGACGGAACATTATTAAAAAGATCCATTATTGATGTTGCTCTGAAATATTTATCCCGTGTGATGAAAAAATCAATACAGTCAAGCAGGACATGCCTGGCTGTGATTCTTTCATCACAAGGGATACAAAACGGATGATCCCCATCTTTTAACAAATATTCATGTGTATATCTCGAATGGCCAATACAATTGTAATGATATAACAGAATCTAAATTGAACTATAGAGTTATACTGTTGGGAGACTTTAATGCTAGAACCAGAACTAATCCTGATTTTGTCGATCTTGAAGAAGTTAGCCCCAAAATACACCTCATTGGTGAACCGATGGAATATGGACAGGAGAGGTTCAGTTCTTGTAAATAATCATGGGAATATGCTTATAAATATTTGATAAAAAGAAAATAATCCTAACATTTTAAATGACAGATTACATGGTTTGTTTGTTTGTTTGTTTGTTTGTTTGTTGTTTAAAGTCGCACTCAGCTATATGACGGCGGTCTATAAATAACCGAGTATGGACCAGACAATCCAGTGATTAATATCATGATCATCGATCCACGCAATTGGGATAGATGACATGCATCAACCAAGTCCGCGAGCCTGACCACCCGATGCCGTTAATCGCCTTTACGACAAACAGAGTCACCCTTTACGGTAAGCATGGGTTGCTGAAGACCTATTCTACCTCGGAATCTTCACGGGTCGCAGATTGCATCGGGACATATACTGTGGTAAAGTCACTTGTAAAGAAATTAGTGTTGTGGATTGTGTTATTTCATCTTATGATAAAATACTACACATGATAGATTCCCTGGGTGGACCTTTAACCCGTTAATCTCAGATATACACTCTTCCTTGACACTTACCATTGATAAAGATAATGATAAAGAAAATCAGTATAAATGATATGTTTAAAGTTAAAAATTGCGACGTCACGGTAAGGCCGAAATATTGCCAATTTGACGTTATATTTCAACTCACTCGCTGCTAATGTTACTTTGTTGTGGAATATACACGGAGATATAACAACAAACCTAACAGGAAATGGAAACCGTGGGAAATACTCCAAAGCAAGGACACTGTTAACCTGGAGGAAAATTATTGATAAATGCATTTACTAAATGCAAGTCGTTCATATAAACTCACCTTGATAAAATATAGTTATAGACTAAGTCTTTTAGTCACCTTAAAACATGGTACAAGTCCAAATATAGAATTGCGTCGGACATAATTTGTGTCAATGATCCATCTGATATTGAAAAAGCGCCCACATATCTACCATTAAACGTTTTGAAAGCTTTTCTAAAGCCTTGAATAAAGTAAACGTGGTCAAACCACATCTGAGGAAGAGTCGTATGACTCCCTTGTCCATCTACATACTTCATTCTTTTCCATCAATCAGCACCACATTCAACTACCAAGATTAGTGTTTATCAACTGTGAATTCGTCAATCACTTCTTTGTCGCAACGTCTATGCCATCTATATTTTGATCAGTACTGTGTCAAAATTGTTGAGTGAGTGAGTGAGTTAATATTTAAAGTCACAACGGCAATATTTCAGCCATATAGTGACTAAATCAAGTTATATATTAATACATAGAGACATTAAAATCTGTCGACAAAGGACAGTAAAAACACTAGACTATCACAGATGTAGATTTAAAACTAGCATATCAGAATAAATTTCATAACAATTCAGAACAGTACACAATAAAAATGGGCTATAGATCACCAATAACCAAAGGTAGGTCATCACACTAAGTACCATGGGGACTTACGATACTTCTGCTACCTACATGGTAACCCAGCAGGATTTACACCATCCCTCTGGCTACTGGTGATTGTCGGCAAGTTTAAGCCAAAACATTTAAAAACAACAAGAATTCTACGATTAAAAAAATGGAAAATGAAAAATACTCAAAATTGTTGACTTCATCGAACACTAAATATATCGATTAATATGAATTGGTCCAATGAGAGTATAACAGCTTTAGAAAAAAACTTGTTCCTTCCAGTTTGTTACAAAGCAAATCCGTTCGATAGGCATATGTTTGTACTGTCCGTTTTCGTTTATTAGATACAATAACGCAATATCAAACAGTGCAAATCATATCAAAGAAATGTTCCACGTCTCGGATCTGGATCTCTTGGTACACTTAGTCTCCTCAAGCCATTTCATGACTTGGCGTGACTCTAGAACCTGAAGACATGTCCTAGATTCATATCTTGGAGCCCAATTGCAATAATACACTGTACCAGTGCAAGTCCAGGTATAAATCCCTCAATTTCAAACGTCTGTGTTCGTAAGCTCTGCAATAGATCAAGGGCTACAGCAATAACTCACTGACAAATTCAAATAATATGTAAATTATTAATATTGCCAGTTTTTAAACGGATGCATATGATGTCTATGTGTATCTGGAGTTTTGTGAAAATTAATAGTTTATCTGGGTAGATCTGGAGAGAGTGAGTTTAGATTTAACGTCACATCGGTAATATTTTAGCCATATAATGACGAGATCAATTTATACATCAATAATATAGACAATTTGACTGTATAAAACCTGTCAACAAAGGACAGTAAAACAAACTAGACTATTACAGATATGAATATAAGACTAGCATGGAACTATAAAAGATTAGCGATACACAATTTATGATAAAAACGGGCTTTTGATCGCCAACCACTGAAGGAAGATCACCATACTGGGGACCATGGGGACTTACAGTACCTTTGCTACCTGCAAGGACCCCAGCAGGAGGGTAGATCTGGAAGCAAAGAAGACGTTGTGTACAGCAACCCAACCGCACCTGATATTAATTACACAATGAGTTCTACAGTTGTTTGGTTATTAAAGAGTCTACAACGGGGAAGGTGGGAGGTGGAAAGGTATTTGATCTATGTAAGATATTCATCTTCGTTTGCGTTTTTTTATATTTTGTTTTGTTTTGTTATTTAACGCCGCTCTCAGCAATATTCCACTTATATGATGGCGATCTGTAAATATTTGTGTTGAACAGACAATCATGTCATTGACTCTATGAACATCGATCTACGCAATTTGGAAACAATGACATGCATCAACAATGTGAGCCAGATTGTCTCCTCAACACACCGCTTCTTACAAGAAATGGTTCCTGGAAAGGAAGGGCGTGGAAGGTGTGGGAGGTGCGTCCATCGTCTCCAGGTTTGAAGGTCGATGGACAGAAGTGAATATACTGATATACTTATTCTTTCGAAGCCTGTGTGTAGGCATTCTACCAATTAGTTGCATATATACTCTTCAAAAAAAGAAACTTGACATGTATGTAAAACCACATTCTGCCAATTATCTAAAATAATTACATTAAATGAGAACCAAATAAGTCAAACAGAACGATGATGTGTCTATCATTCGCGAATACATATGCAAAGCACATAAACGTTTGGGGATCAATGTTACAGCTTCATCCAAACGCAACCGCCTGTAAAAAACGTTCAGCATAAGATCCTGCATTTAGGCATGGACCCCCCACCACCCTCTCGGGTTAAGGGAGAAGCCCCATGTATTTTGTTTAGAGATTAGTGAAGTAGATTTTGGGCCATTTTAATGCGGATGAATCGGGCTCCATCATTTAGATATGTTTATTTTATGGGGTTGGACTCGAATAGATCATTTCCTATTACATTCAAGAGTGGAGTGCCGTTTTCAAGGGTATATTGGTCCGACAGCGTTTGGTCGACACCCACGCTTACTATTCGTTTGTTTAGGAAGTCCTAATTAGATTTTAATTCACCACGTACATCACGGCGTACATAATTTATGAAAGTGTTTGTCGTTAGGAGGTAATGGAGTTTTACATTGTTTGTTTAAATGAAATAAAAATATAAAAACGTTGTAAAAACGGTATCAAAAACATGTTGTATTAGTGGCAGTCTCTTAGTGTTATTTTGTGGTTTGGTTGTAATGTCAATTAATTTACATGCAGGTCCATTTTTGTATAGATTGTGTGATATTCCAACTCCTTGAAATAAGCCGTTGTTATGCCCAGTGACACTCATTCTGGTTTGTTCACACTAAAACCGGTTCGGCTCATTCTGGAGTAGCTGAAATGTTTTTATCAGGTGATTATTTTCTATCCCTGCTGATTGGCTAATTAGAATTAGCCTTGTGACTGTGCGCATTGTTCTGACCGTGTGCCACTTTGAACTGCACACCACGGGAGGAAAGGTTAGTTCCAACTTGCTAATATTTTCGATATAGAAATAGCATTAAATTGTAAGTTTGTGAATTGTTTTATATAATTATACAGTTAAACATCATATATATTGTATTACATCCGTAGACATGTTAAGCCTGCGCTGTTAAATTGACGTGTATTGGTTAGACTGTGCACGTGGAGTTCGTCCTCATGGTGAGTCGTTGGTGGAGTGCAATTTACGTGTGGTGTCCTTGTTTGTTTTTGTGTTTGTGTGTTTATTTGTTCTCAGCGTTCGAAAGACCTGCCTGCCCGACCGTCCGAGACGGCTTTATTTCAACTCGGGCTGCCAGATTTTTTAATCACCCTGCCCGACGGTCGGCTTATATTTCATCTGTGAAAATATTCTAAATATTTCCCGATGATAAGCATTAATTCACATGTAAAGATGAGTGATAAAATGTAACCAAAAAAGAAACCCCGTTAGCTTTTAGACAACCTAACATTTAGCGATGCGCTTATGCTACAAGCAATCATATTTTTAATTAAATTATCCTGAGAAACATATGATTATGGTTGGCAGGGAGGTTTTGGTCAGGGCTAGCAAGTATTTCAGCTAGCCAGTCCTGTGGTCTTGCTGAATTTTTTGGGAGTTTCATACCCTGATGTTCTCTTCTGTACGCGTGCGCATGTTTAGGTGTGGGTGTTCATGTTTGACATGACCGCCTCCGTGGTCTTGTGGTAGAGCGTCCGCCCGACGAGCGGAAGGTCCGGGGTTCGATCCCCGACCACGTCATACCAAAAGTCATTAAACAGGTTTGGGAAACCCCTGAAATGAAGGAAATGGACCCACCTGAGTGAAACACCCCCAAATGAGTGAATACACGCACCCACAATCCCCTATAAAAAGGTGAAAAATCCACCTTGCGGCGTCTGAACAAAACGTCGCAAGATGGTAAGTCACTTTTGATCAGTACGGTACTACATTCTCCACCATGCAACACATGCCGACATAAACACGTGCCTCGGTACATGCTTTGATAAACATTTAGAAACAGACATTCACGCGTTGTACAACAACTCTGACCTGTCACATTGCTATTACGCTATGATACAACTCACAATTTACACCAGAACGGCGTTAATATCCCCTCTCAACACACTAACCTGCCGGAAACAATGGCCGCTCATGTCACTCGCCAACTGCGATAGAACACTCGTCGTCAGAGATGTCGTCCGGAACTGTGGTGAACCGAAAGGGACACAATTCGAACACAATGACAAGGGAGGAAACCCTGCACGCATGTCATCATTTAGGGGTGTAAAATAACTAAATTGCTTAGGAAAAGAGTCATTTAAATGAACACTTATATATCATCCAGCTGCAACTAGCTGCGATGGCCGCTCATGTCACTCGCCAACTGCGAAAGAGCACTCGTCGTCAGATTTTGCCAGAAACCATGGTGGAGCGAAAGGGACATAATTCGAATACACTGACAAGGCAGTTAACCCTGCACGTATGTCATCATTGAGGGATGAAAAAAGCAAAATTGCACTTGAAAGCTTTTATTGAAATAAAACAATGGAACTCCAGCAACATATTTACATATTATAAGTTAATGAAAAAACATATAAAAGAACACACATTTCACTACATTTGCAGAATAAACGTCACCACATACGTACAGATAAGAAACATTTTAAAGCAGCATGCTCATCAAATTTCTATTATTTACAGATGTGGATGTAAAGGATAAAAAAGAATCATGCCTAAACGAAAAATTCACAGGTGCAGCTGTAAAGCTCATGACGCCTGTTCCACTGACACCTCACCAGTTACAGAAATATCATCTCGACGTCACCCTAAAAAATACATTGATGCACTCTTAAAACAAGGCCAACTCACTCACGATTCAAAATATATTTGTCACGGGTGTATAGAACATGTGAAGAATGACTTTTCAGACAGTGAACAATCATTTAATGATGTTGTAGATAAAATCACAAAGGGATTACGTGAAGGGAAACTGAACACGGAGAACATCATATCCATCCTTGCCAGTGTTGGAGACTATCTACATGAAATCATCAAAACAGAATCAGACAAAATAAAATCACAATACCGTGAAGCAGATTTTTACAATAACATCAACATCACCCATTGGTTAAGTCAACGGAATTCCCTGATACTGACTCTCATCCAACACATGACGGGTCACGATTATACAGTTCCCGATCAATTTAATGGCGTAAAAAAAACTACATCATGTCTACAATCATTGAAAACATGTGCTACATGGTGACAGCAACATCATTGGGCCATTAGCATTTGGCAGCAACCTGCTCACGTATTTCATGACCGGAAGTAAAGTGGCATCGGTTTTCAACAATCACACATCTCCATGTGGTTCATATACGATCAATTCACAGTAGCTTGATAGCGGGACACAACATAAACTGAATTGTCCACCTGTTGGCTCAATCATGGCATTTATTGATAACAATCAAAAGATTGAACGGAATTGGCGTGTCGACTTAAATTACAAAACGAAATGCATCATTTACATAAATGACCCTGTCTCCCAAATACAATCAGTCCCACAGTTGTCACCATATGTATGGTTGCATTCAGTCTACCTAAAAGATGTTATTTCACCACTATTAGATGAAATGGTCACTGAAAGTGAACACATCATGACAAGTCTTGTTCATGACTTCCTTGAGCACAGGCTACATGAAGTTGCGAAGGGTCAGTCCCCCACACAGGATGGTACTCTGTCAGACAATGTTGATAGGGATCATCCACTCATTGACACCTGTTCATTCAAACAATCCCATGATCCCTATGCATTCATAGAAAGTAGACATGCACCCCAACAACCCACTGTCACCTTGGGCGATCCTGTGTTGACAAACCCAAACAACTATGACAATGTAGACAGGGTACTGCATGAGCTACATCAGCAAACTGGCACAGGAGATGTTCGCACATGGATAGCTGTTGGATGTGATGGATGTCCGTACAACATTGTCACCAATATCATAAACAAATGGTACATTTGTCCTCTGTGTCAACATGAATGTAGAGGGGGCAAGAACAATTGACCAGTCAACATGACAGGAATGACATCAATGTAGACACATGTATGAAGTATCCCAATGTGTTGTTAGTGCCTGGATTTGGGCATTATGAAATGAACATGGTACGTTCCATATTTAAGTTACTATGGCATCCCTTTCTGAAACACATGGCAATTATGACAGGGTTCGTACACCACATGCACAAGCAGCACAGAATCACCACAAGTCTTGGCAGTTTGTGTTGATATTTCTGTATGAGACAATCGACGAATTGATCATACCTTATGTTCGTCAATGCATTGTCAACAACACAAAGTTCAGCATTGAGGGATGTCTCCAGTGGCTATCAAATTGTAAAAATCCAAACCATATCTTTGCCTGGGAAGTTTTGAAAACATTCGTCATTCCCCTCTTCATGTTTCGTGCCTCAGTTCGTAGAAACAACAGCCGTGTCATATTGGCCTCCAAATACATAATGACCACTTTGTATTATGGCATGAACAATACCACGTATCAGCAGATTGAATTTCGTGATGAAGTCCTCCGATGTTTGGCACCACCGGAGGTAACCGAATTTCTTCATCCCAGTGAAGTTCTCTCTCAGTCTGGTCACCCGAGCAAAGGAGAAGGAGGGGATTTCGTCCTAGAGGCATGGAACAGGAAAATAAAAATGTGGATACCACCAGGCCTACCAACTGAAAACGGCTTGCTCCGTAGTTGTCGCAATCTTCACAGATTAGAAAAGGTAAAACGTATTTAACAACTGTACTAACATATGATGTACTTTTCACGCCGTTCATATACAGTGACTATGAAACGAACTGATAGTGTATAGGACTTATTTCACAAGCAATATTTCAACTCACGTGTTCATCATCCAGCTAAATGACCACTGACTGACCTCTGGAATTTTCCCCTGGCTTAAATATGTGAGGCGCGGACGTCGGAGTAGGCAAGCAATAGTCTGGTACAATGTCACTCTCAGGAGTAAAAGTTGTGTTTCTTAACACACTTTACTGCAATACCATTAATTAAAAACATTAACATATAATGTCATATGAATATGATGTGAACCGTCACGTCTTACTATATGAACATGGTTTATATAGAATACATGCCCACTCCTGTATATAGTAACGGCTTAAAATAAGCATAAAACACATCGTAACCTATGATATACTTCATATGAAGCAATACCAGTATGCAGTGGGGATCCCGCATCCTTGCACAATTAACAGTACATTAATTCAACAAACAACCACGTGATGCATGTTATGATTTTAATGATTGATTGCGGACAGGACAGTAAATAGTTAAAGGTTTGAGGTCTTTGGTGGATTTAATGTGAACACCCATGCAGCCAATGTTTCACCAAAATGAACATTCGGGCTGACATTTGTGTTCACATCCCACCCATTCGTGTAGTCTGTGATCTTCTGGGGAATATTCCTTATTACAATAGGTGCAAATTGTGACATTTTGAATTTTAGCGGATTTACATTGTCCATAAACCTTTTTAGTTGCCTTTCTCTTGGGTCTTGATGGGGCTGTCGTTTTGGCGGGTGATGTTGATGGTTTATCTTGAATGGGCGGGTCTGATGCTTTCATGGAAATGGACGGTTCCATAGAATGGGAAGGTGATGTGCCAGATGTAGATGGTTGTGGTGATGATGGCTGATCAGGTGTCTGGGTGATAATGTGTGTTGGTTTGGGGATGGTGATTGTTTTCTGGTGAACAGCTTCTGCCCCATCGGGTTCCTGCATAAGACGTTATATTATTAGTTTTCCAATAACACGTGTTAAAATAGTTAATGCATATAAAATTGATCAGGGATTCCATTCATAATAGTGTATTTAGGTATGCAATATAACCTCCATATGCCATATGTATCACAAAGTGGTTATGAATCTATATTGTTAGAAGTAACATTGGTATACATACACCGTATTTTTCCTCCAAAAAGGGCGTGACCATATAGAAATTGGCCCCACCCCCATCTGCACAAAACTCCATGTAGACATCTGCTCCGGTGGTCGTTATGAACTCTTTGACCTGTTTGTTATAAATTGGACATACATACATGTTATACATGATAATATAAATTAATATTAGGTTTGATGTATTGTCTGTTCATTTGAAGAGTGGGGGCACGGGTGGCCCAGTCGTCTAAGGCGCCGTGATTTGCTGTGCAGAGTTGCGTCCCTTGGGCACGCCAGAAACCTATGCTTGTGGGTTCGAATCCCGGTTCGCCCCAATTATGTTACTAGGTTTGTCAGCACCATACCCGTGCTCGTGGGTTTCACCGAAGTGGTAAACGTCTGAGACCTGCATCACTTCGGGCTTTCCTCCACGTGAAGCTGACACGCCGCGATAGAACTGGAATACTGTTAAAAGTGGCGTTAAACCCAACTCACTCACTCATTTGAAGGGTGTATCATAATTGTCATTATTTCTTTTCTCATAGATGAAATCAGCCATGTTTGATGCTGCAGGCATGACAGTCACCCATGACTTTTCAACTGTCACACACTTTTCATTGGCTGCTGAAATAACAGGATTGATTTCATGGTTGAGGCACTTACATTACTTTAAAAACCCTGACAGTAATAGTCCGCATGTTGGCCTTGACCAGAGCCTCCATCTTGATGCAGACCTAGTGAATTGTGTGCGACAGTGTCAGCATAACCGACAAATATACAGGTGTGTATATTATTCATAACTTAGTACTTATTTCTTCTACAGTGCTCACTGTGTATGGGTTTCGGAAACTTTTTGCATTATTTCATCAATATAACGGCGGGGGACACCAGCATTGTTCTTCACCCAGAGTACCCATCCTTATACATTTCATGTAACTTGTATTACGTACACTAGCAATTGGTAACGTTGCTTCCACATTTCATTGTATGTGCATCATTTTGTATCCTGTAACACTGTATGCGCTTTTAATTTAAACAGGGATAAGGCCATTTGCGGGGATTTCTCCCGTAAGGGGACACCCCTGTCAAAGATAATGGTGATCGCTGCTGACAGGGTGGAATCGCTAAAAATTGATCACCGCACAAAAGAGGAACTAATGACCTTGATGGAGGTCACATTGCAACATGTACAGGTATGAAGAGTGTACATTTGATTACATGGTAATAATCGTTTTGTTTATGGATGACCCTAACTTTTGTATTCTTTGGTATGTTTTGAATTCATATTATTATGTGTATATTAATATCGTACTTCTTCAGGCTGATGATGACATGCGCCGTCAGTGGAAGGCAGTCCGCTCCGGCACAAAGGCTAAAATACTTGCCTTTTGGATGTGGAGGCTGCCATGGAATGTGACGCTCCTTATGACGGTAAACACATATTGTATACTGTATTAATTACCATTTTAATCAGAGTTAATTTCCGCTTGGAACAACTTTTGGCCCTGTCCTTGGGGTCTTCAATGTAAGCTTGACCTCAAGGCCCGTGTGGTGAGTGAGTGAGTTATTATTTAACGTCACATGGGCAATATTTCAGCCATATCATGACGAGAATTAATACATTAATAACATATAAGTATATATACTTTATAAAAAAAACTGTCATCAAAGGACAGTACAATAACTAGAATATCACAGAGTGTATTAAAACTAGTTGAGGAACAGATAAAAGCAGAAAGAATCAACAACACGATATAAAAATGGGCTAGAGATCATCAGTAACTAAAGGGAGATCACCATACCAGGGACCATGGGGACTTATAGTGCCGTTGCTTCCTGCATGGGCCCTGGCTAGATTTATATCATCCCTTCAGTCACTGGCGATAGTTTACCAGTTAAGCCTTAGATTAAAATGACAAAAATACTACGTTTTAAAAACCTGGTATGCATAACAATACATTGAATGATGTGGGACTTACATACCCTCTTAGGGGGACAATAATTTTACGCTACTTCAACCCCCCTCGAGGGTACAGCCACTAACAATCTAAGTTATATATTAGCACTACCAATATATAAAAACATATTATGTACATCAAAATTTATGTATTAAATCAATTTCCTTTAAAAAGTGCAATACTTGATGAGAATTAACTTGACTAAAAAGGTCCTTGACTGTTTTGACACTATAATATTTATCCCTTTTGATGGAAAAATCAATGCAGTCAAGCCCGTGTGGTGACCTTTTGCTGTGGGGGACTTTTGGGCACAGGTCTGTCTTTTTCCATGTTGCCCTCTTACTTTTTGTCTTCATCTGTACTTTACTTTCCTTTTACATTCAGAAACAATGTGGTATTTTGAATGTGGCAATCATTTATTTTGATGTAGTTGCAGCTGGATGATGTTATATAAGTGTTCATTTAAATGACTCTTTTCCTAAGCAATTTAGTTATTTTACATCCCTAAATGATGGCATGCGTTCAGGGTTTCCTCCCTTGTCATTGTGTTCGAATTGTGTCCCTTTCGGTTCACCACAGTTCCGGATGACGAGTGCTCTATCGCAGTTGGCGAGTGACATGAGCGGCCATTTGTTTCCGGCAGGTTCGTGTGTGTTGAGAGGGGATAATAACGTCGTTCTGGTGTAAATTGTGAGTTGTATCGTAGCGTAATAGTAATGTGACAGGACAGAGTTGTTGTACAACGCGTGAATGTCTGTTTCTAAATGTTTATCAACGCATGTACCGAGGCACGTGTTCATGTCGGCATGTGTTTCATGGTGGAGAATGTAGTATCGTACTGATCAAAAGTGACTTACCATCTTGCGACGTTTTGTTCAGACACCGCAAGGTGGATTTTTCACCTTTTTATAGAGGATAGTGGGTGCGTGTATTCACTCAATTGGGGGTGTTTCACTTAGGTGGGTCCATTTCCTTCATTTCAGGGGTTTCCCCAACCTGTTCATGTTAAACTGCGGCATGCATATGGTATCTCAGTGAGCTAGCACTATAAATCGGCATCAGTAAGCACAAGCACGCACACACACACACGCACGCACACACACAAGTGCAATAATCTTAGACGCGACGTTAAACCCCATTTCACCTCACCTCATGTTTGACATGTGATTTTCAGAGCACACTGGCGTCATGACAATTTGGAAATGATTGTAGCTATCCATAGTCAGGTCGGGGAAAACCCCCAACTGGCGTCAATGAACCCACAGGTTATTGCACCGGTTATTGTGAACCCGAGTACCCCTCCGCCATTTGGACACATTCGGTGCTATAAATCAGTCAAAAAGACAACATTGAAGTAAAAAATTACCTGAAATGTACTTTGTCAACCCCTCTCTCCGTCTGCCATGCTTCCTACTCTGCCACGCCACCTGCAGTCCCGGCAAGGGAGGTAACGCCCAAATCGGGCCTTGGCGTCAGTAAGTCTATGGAAAACCAAAGGGGACAAAATTTGAAATTCTTCGCGATGCATTGCTGAAAGGGGTCATAGGCTTTGTGCTATATCATAATGTTATTTTCCGGACATTTAAGTGTTGAATATAGATGTATGTATCATGTAAAAAAAATTCGTTGTAATTTATGAAAAGTATAGACTATATTTATGTTGGTTACATTTGTATCAGGATGTTAAAGTAACAAAATCAACAAAGAGGAATCGATGGAAGAAGTCCCCCCCCCCCCCCCCCCCCCTCCCCCCTCCAAGAAAAAGACGAAATGCAATGTTGCTAAATCCCATCACACAGGGACTCGCGGGGAACCTATTTTCGGATCCTGTTAAAAGGTCCAAACGCTTCTAGACCTTAACGAAGTGTGTAAGTAATTATTACTGACCTTCTAGGTCTTGTTCCTCCTCCTCCTCCTCAATGTAAGAGTCAATTTCCATAAAGAACTTCATCAACGCATTTCTGTTGCGTGTAGTTTTTTCCACTGGTATTAGATGTCATCAATACTCTGTCAATGAATGTTCTATGTTATGATTTGATTTAATGGGTTTCCAAATGGGCTTCAAGTTCCGTCTGGATGATTTCCACCAATTGTGCAATAGTCATTTTGGTGGGCTTTTCTGACTCTTTGCGTTCCTCTTGCGTTAGGATAAGTTTTTTTAGTCTGGGTCTTCCAACATTTTCTAGCAGGTTCTCCTCAATCATTATTTCTCTAAAAAAAATTTGGAAATAAATGTCACTATTTTCCTGATAAACGCAAAAGAAAGTAGTGTGTGTGCGTGAGAGTCAGAGATACTGACATTGAGAATGAGTGAGAGATATATATATATATATACACACACACACATGTAATAGCGTATATATAAATACCTATATTTTCTCCTGTTTGTTGCAATGTCGAGCCACTGCTGTACATCTGGTGCTTTTCGTCCAGGCCTGTTAGGTGGGGTGGGCAAGGGCTTGCCTGTAAATGGTTGCTTTGTCGAAGCTACGATCTCCACCCTGCTATCTCCGGCGACAGGGAATTGTCAGTGCTTTTTGAAATGGTACGTATAACTCAGCACAAACTGCCAATAGTATGTTGGTTTTCATCTGTTATACAAAATTATAAATTTTAGAGTATGTTTTTAGGCGGTTGATTTACATAAAACAACTGGGGCTGAACCCTACTTGGAAATCAAAGGATCGGATGCAAGTGATCCCCATCAGGTGGCCACACCTGGGTATCAATGGGTTCAAAAGGTATGTAATATGTTGTCGTATACTATAATTTGTATCAACTGTTGATAATTGAAAACATATAATGTGTAGGTTTAATGAACCGCAAATATGCATTTAGTAATGTTTTCATTTTTTTCCAGCTCAACCAAAGTTTACCCAAATAACAATGAAACTGTTTATTTAACCAAACCCACCCATCTTTCTCAAACTCTGCTTTCACCGATTTCCACACCCTCTCATGCTGCTACACAAACCTCTCCTAAACCACTTCCGAAATCCCAAACCTTTTCTTCTTCTTCAAACCGGCACTCGTGAAGAGCAACCTCCTCGTGGTGAGTGCTGGGTAACGCTAATCGCTCTTCCCCTGTGTGGAACCGGGGCAGAATATTTCCACAGCCTCCCATTGCTGGTCGTATGAGGCGACTAAAATGGGCAACCTGTTTGCCGTGGGTTGCGTCCCTGTGTCGACGGAGGACGGGAGTCTGGTAGTTGAGGGCACTGGTTCCTGGAACTGTGTTCCTTTGCCCAACACACTACTTCGACCCTTACTTCGCCTAGACGGGTGGTAAGATGGGCCCGGTCTTATCAATCGGCTGGTCATGCCAGGCCCTGTGCGTAATATTGTAAATGCACACGTGTGTTGTATTGTAATGTATATTTTGGTCTTGGTCATCCATAACTTGTGTGAATTGAATTACTTGCCTAGAGTCTTACGCCAGAAGGCGGTGGCTCATGGGCCAATCTGGTGATGTTGACCTCCGAATAATGTATGTTTTCAATTTCTTGTCATGGGCCGAACCAGTCTGGCATTGAGTTGGTAAACAAATACAGCTGTTCGCGTCATATTCTCTGGAGTATAACATCCCTGTATCCCTGGTGTTTGCATCCTGGATATCCGATGCAACATAACACTGTCCCTGGTGACACTCGGTGGCGGGTGGGGAGCAGGGGTGCTGAATAATTTTCTTTCATCATGGCTCAACAACAATCTGGTTCATCTCGAAATGAAAAAAAGCGAAGATTAGAAGAAATCGATATTTCACCTGGAAGTATTGCTCAAAATATTGATACCTGGGCTAGATTCCTGGTTATTGAGGCTGCTGATAACCTTCCCATCAAACTCAATCCTTTTGCTATTTCTAAGGCTGTTTCTGGGATTTGCGGTGAGGTGAAGAACGTTACCCGTCTCCGTAGTGGTTCGCTTCTGGTGGAGTGTGCTCGGAGACAGCAATCTCTCAATCTTTTATCTATCTCTACATTTGCAAATATTGAGGTTGCTGTGTCTGAGCACAGAACATTAAATTCTTGTCGAGGCATTGTTCGTGACAGGGCTCGTTGTCTGTCCGACATGTCTGAAGACGAAATCACTACAGAGTTAGGAGACCAGGCTGTAACTGCAGTTAGACGCTTCACATTCAAGAAGGACGGTGTCATCACAAACACAAATACGTATCTTCTGACGTTTGCCCGTACAACCCTCCCGCAGTCAATAAAAGCAGGGTATTTCAGTATCGGAGTGGATGTGTATGTCCCCAATCCGCTCCGATGCTACAAGTGTCAACGTTTTGGTCATGGATCAAAGTCCTGTCATAGCTCTGTGGCATGTCATCGGTGTGGTGACAGCCATGATAGCACTGACTGTGAGAAGGATTTGAAGTGCGCTAACTGTTCTGGCCCACATGTTGCTTCCTCCAAATCATGCCCTGTGTGGCAAATGGAATCACAAATTATGAAACTGAAATGCGAACGAAACATATCCTACTTGGATGCAAAAAAAATATTCAAAAATCAGACCACTACTCCCTCTACTATTTCCTACTCCGCTGCAGTCACTCGCTCTGTTGCGTCTTCAACTATTTCGTGTCAGACTGACTTGACATGGGTCAAGTCAGACCAACCAGCTGCGACAGTTCACATCAGTCAGGATATTCCTACCATCAGTCTATCTAGTTCAGGCTCTCAGACTGAGATTCAGGCTGAGAATCAATCTCAAACATCAGTCAATCAACCAGTCATTGTCAAATTGTCAAATAAAGAAAAAAAGAAATTAAAGAAAAAACAACTACCAATCGTCCCTTCACCTTCAGAGGTTCCTTTACAGAACTCTTTTGGGCCTCTGGACATGGAGGTTACTCTGTCCTCACAGGACAGGCGGAGGAGTAGTTCCTCCTCACATTCACGCGAGCGATCTCCAATTGAGCCACCATGACTCAATTGTCTAATATAATGCAATGGAATTGCAGAGGACTTAGGCATAATTTTCATGAACTGCAGTTATTAACAAGTGATTTAAATACATCAGCAATTTCTTTACAAGAGACGTACCTTAAAAATACAGATAAGTTTGATTTAAAGCACTATAGTTCATATCATTCCTTCTCTCCTCCAGGAGATAAAGCTACTGGAGGTGCTTCTATTTTAGTGCGGCGGGGCGTTGTTCACAGTCCTGTTCCGCTTGACTCGACTCTGCAAGCAGTTGCAGTTAGACTAACACTGCATATTGCCTTCACACTTTGCTCCTTATACATTCCTCCATCTTCAAATCTTCAGCGTAATGATCTACAAAAACTATACGACCAGCTCCCAAAGCCCTGTGTCATCATGGGTGATCTAAATGGGCATAATCCTTTATGGGGAAGTTCCACCATTAATCAAAAGGGAAAAGTGATTGAGGATTTTGTTTCTGATAATGACCTTTGCATCTTTAATGATGACTCCGACACTTACTTACACCCTGCAACTGGTACGTATTCATCATTAGATCTGTCTTTGACGGATTCAGTTTTGTTAAATGAATTCTCATGGTCCGTCCATGATGACCTATGTGGGAGTGACCATTTCCCCACGGTGCTTAAGCCCATTAATCCCGCTGTTGATCCACCTTCACCTCGATGGAATTTTGTGAAGGCTGATTGGCTTTTATTTCAATCTTTATGCAAAGATAAATTACAACCTACTTCTTTTCAGAATGTTACTGACCCAATTCAGTTGTTTTCAGATCAACTGAATGAAATTGCTAATGAATCCATACCTAAGTCCTCTATCAACCCACGTGTTCGTAAACCATGGTTTGATGCTAATTGCAAACAAGCTAGGAAATGTCGTAAGAAGGCGGAGAAGTACTTCCGTAAACATCCCACTGTCCATAATTTAAATACTGTTAAAATTTCAAATGCCAAGGCAAGACGTCTATTTAAGCAAAATAAACGTCAATCCTGGCGGACTTATGTCTCCAAAATTAACTCTCGTACCCCTATGTCCAAGGTATGGAACATGATTAAAAAGATCAAAGGCAAGGGATCAAATTCTACAGTTAACCATCTGAAGGATGGCGATACTTTGTTAACTGATAAATCTGCCATTGCCAATAGCATTGGTGAAACTTTATCTCATCATTCTTCTTCCCCAATTACGCTCCTGAATTTCAAAAATATCAGCTTCAACAGGAAAAGAAAAAAGTAAATTTTACATCTGATAATGGTGAAGATTACAATGAGGTATTTTCACTACATGAGCTATATACTGCCTTAGGGCAAGCTCATGATACAGCAGCAGGCGCTGATAATATTCATTATCAGCTGCTGAAACACTTGCCCGAATCATGCCTTGAAACTATGTTAAATATATTCGATGATATTTGGACATCTGGGATGTTTCCAGCTTCATGGCATAAAGCCATTGTTATCCCCATTCCCAAACCTGGGCGGGATCATTCTGATCCATCAAATTACAGACCTATCTCTTTAACTAGCTGTGTTTGTAAAACGATGGAACGCATGGTAAATAATCGATTAGTGTGGTACTTGGAAACAAATAATCTTCTTTCCAATATACAATGTGGTTTCCGGAAAAATAGAAGTACTATCGATCATTTAGTGCGTTTAGAATCGTTCATTAAAAATGCCATTGTAAATAGACAACATGCTGTATCGATCTTTTTCGATTTAGAAAAAGCTTACGATACAACATGGAAACATGGTATTTTAAAAGATCTTCATGATTTTGGATTAAGAGGCCGTCTGCCTCATTTTATATCACAGTTTTTAACAGACAGGCAATTTCAAGTCCGAGTGGGTACAACCCTGTCTGATCATTATAATCAGGATCAGGGTGTCCCACAAGGCAGTATTTTGTCTGTCACTTTATTCAGTATAAAAATTAACAGTTTGTCCAAAGTTTTAAATGATTCAGTTGATGGATCCCTTTTTGTGGATGATTTTAATCTATCTTGTCGTGGTAAAAATATGCACACAATAGAAAGACAATTACAATTATGTCTTAATAAAATTCACAAGTGGTGTCTAGAAAACGGTTTTAAATTTTCCAAATCAAAAACTAATTGTATTCATTTCTGCAGAAAATATAAGCCACATAAGGACCCTGAACTGTTTCTGAATGGCACTCCTATCAAAGTTGTTAAGGAGGCCAAGTTCTTGGGACTTATTTTCGATAGCCATTTAACTTTTTTACCACACATTAAATACCTTAAAGCTAAATGCCTGAAGGCACTTGATTTGTTAAAAGTTGTTTCTAATTCGAAGTGGGGAGGGGATCAGACAACACTATTGCACTTGTACAGGTCCCTGATCCGTTCAAAACTTGACTACGGCTCCATCGTCTATGGTGGAGCCTGCAAAAGTAACTTAAAAAAACTAGATACTATCCATCATCAGGGCCTGAGGCTTTGCCTTGGAGCTTTTCGAACGTCTCCAATTCACAGTCTGTATGTAGAAGCGGATGAACCTTCTCTTAAACAACGCCGTCTGAAATTATCTGTACAATATGTCACTAAATTATATTCAAATCAGTCAAATCCAGCTTTTAATTGCGTCTTTAATCCTCTCTACCAAGATATCTACAATAAAAAATCATCTCTCGTTCCACCACTCGGAATAAGAATCCAGTCTGCCATGTTTGCTTCTAATATTAAATTGCATGATATTGCTCCCTTTCAACTGTTTTCATCACCTCCTTGGCAAATGGTAAGGCCAGAGGTTGACCTCACATTAACCAACTTAAAGAAATCAGATACTAACCAATTAATTTACCAACAAGAATACAATCAATTAAGAACCACTTATAACACTTATAAATCTATATTTACTGATGGTTCCAAGGATGGTGGTGCTGTTGCTAGTGCAACTGTCATTGGATCCAGGACAATATCTTCGCGATTACCAGATAACAGTTCTATCTTTACAGCAGAAGCAAACGCCATTTTTACCGCACTACAATATATCAAAAACCAATCTAAACATAAACAATTCATTATTTTTTCAGATTCTCTATCGTGCCTTCAGGCGATTAAGAATATATCTTGCAAACATCCACTTTTAATCAAGATTCTTGAATTATTTAATGATCTTGCTACTGGCCAATATGACATCGTCTTTTGTTGGTTACCAAGCCATGTTGGTATCACTGGTAACACAATGGCTGATGCTGCTGCAAAAGCAGCACTCAACAAATCTGTGACACCACTTCTGATCCCATACACTGATTTCAAACCCGCGATTAGATCTTACATCCGAGATTTAATGCAGCAGAAGTGGGACGCCCAAGTAGGTATTAATAAATTACATGCTATAAAACCAACCATCGGTTACACCTACTTGGGTTGTCAGTCCAGATTTGAAGAGGTCATTGTACGACGATGTCGTATTGGCCACTCGCGATACACACATGAATATTTGTTAAAAGGTGAAGATCCTCCGTTCTGTATCCCTTGTGATGAGAGAATCACGGTCAAGCATGTCCTGCTTGACTGTATTGATTTTTCCATCACAAGGGATAAGTATTTCAAAGTTTCATCGTTACAGGATCTTTTTAATCAGATTAATTCTCATTTAATTCTTGGTTTTTTAAAAGAAATAGAATTGCTTGATAAATTTTGATATGTACATGTATTGTAAAAAGTATGTGATTTTAATTTGGTAGAATGACGTAATAACTGAGTTTGTTAGTGGCTGTACCTTCAAAGGGGGTTGAAGTAACGTAAAATAATTGTCCCCCTGAGAAGGTATGTAAGTCCCATTTCATTCAAAGTATTTTTCATTTTCCATGTTTTTAATCGTAGAATTCTTGTTGTTTTTAAATGTTTTGGCTTAAACTTGCCGACAATCACCAGTAGCCGGAGGGATGGTGTAAATCCTGCTGGGTTACCATGTAGGTAGCAGAAGTATCGTAAGTCCCCATGGTACCTAGTATGGTGACCTACCTTTGGCTATTGGTGATCTAAAGCCCATTTTTATTGTGTACTGTTTTGAATTGTTATGAATTTTATTCTGATATGCTAGTTTTACAATCTACATCTGTGATAGTCTAGTGTTTTTACTGTCCTTTGTCGACAGATTTTATTGTCACTATGTATTAATATATAACTTGATTTAGTCACGTTATGGCTGAAATATTGCCCATGTGACTTAAAACTTAACTCACTCACTCACTCACTCTTCTTCAAACCCACAACCATCTACTTCTGTCACTAACTCACAACCAAGAACACCAACGCTTGAAACCACAACGGACACGACCTCACAAAAAAGATCAAGCAATAGAAGTAAAAAATAAAACCAGTCGAAAGCAAACTATTTGTCCCATTTGTGACATAGTGTATGGGTGCCCTGAGGACAATAACGCAAAGTGGATTGGATGTGACTTTAAAAAATCCCTGTGCAATTATTGGGTGCATTGTGAATGCATCGGCATTTACGTAAGGGAAGTTTGAGATTTGAAAAACATCACCTGTCTGTGATCAGAGCACAACAAAATTTAAAGGTCTAAATAAAAAAGAAAAATATTATCATGACTTTTGTTATTTTTTTCCTAGAAACAATCTTTCATTATAAGTATTACTATGAAGAAAAAGAAATTTCTTATCTTGCATAATACATGTACTTGTGTATATATACATTATAAAAAATTCCACAAGATCGGATTTGAACTCGCATTCCCTTCACCCATAGTCAGCTACGCTACCAACGGAGCTATTCCTGCACATGTCGTTTGCAGAACAATTAAAAGTACATAATTGTACAAGATATTGCTATGAATAAACAAAATTACTTATACGCCGCTATGTACATAACGGCATGTCATAAATTTACTTCATTCTTACCATTTTATGGTTAAGTAATTCATGTGTCTTTGTTATATTCTATTTATACCACTTCAAATTACCAATAATCCTTCGTACGTAAAACACATGCTTGACTTGACCATTTCTTACCTGTTCCAAGTTGGGAAGATTTCTGCAGCTCCTCAGCCATGCATCATCTGTGGGTACACCTGGAGGCATCCACATTTTCACTTTTCTGTTGTTATTCTCCAATACAAAGTCACCACCTTCACCTTTACCGTGATGACCGGAGGGAGAAATTACCTCACAGACATTAAGATAAATTTCAATTTCTGGTGGGGCTTGTAGTCTCATCATTTCATCTTGTAGAATGAGTTCTTGATAGGATATTTTGATACCTTTATTCATTGCATAAAAAGCCTTGAAAATGAATCCCGGCTGTGTGTCATTGCTTGGCTGTTGTTTCTCCTAACAGCAGAATTATATTTGAATAATGGAATGATGGAATGATGAATTCGAACAAAATGCTGGATAGGAATTCGACATTGGGATTTTTATGTTGCTTCAGCCAAGCATGAAATGCAGAGATAGTGCACAAATGATGCTCAGGTGCCTTTGGCAGTAAGGAACTACACAAAAGTTCGTCTGTGAAACCATATAGAAAAATAAGGAGCATTCCCCAAGACTTGTGGTGGTTGGTGGCTGACTTAGCCATATTGACCGCAGCTGGTGAAGAGAAACCAAGCAGCTTTGCAACATGTTGTAGATATCGCCACCATAGAGTGAGTGAGTGAGTATGGTTTTACGCCGCTTTTAGCAATATTCCAGCAATATCACGGCGGGGGACACCAGAAATGGGCTTCTGGCCACCATAGACATTTGAAAATTGACCTAACACCATTTATCTCAATGTGTCCAGCTCCAGGTACAACCAATATCTGCTTGTAAAGTTGGTGACTGCCATCTACAACAAAATCATCATTTAGGTGCTCAATACTACAGTGCTTTATCAAACCGTGCAATCCCTTTTTGACAATAGCCTGACAAACTGGACATTTGTACCATTTAGTAAGCATTCTGCTTAATAAATTGTAGGAAGAACCATCGCATCCGAGAACTAGCCACTTTCTACTGTTGCCGAAGTCACTGTCTGAACATATCTTATCCAGAACAGTTTGAAGACTATCATATGATGCAGGATTGACCATGGCAGGATCACCCAGACTTATTTCAGGTTGAATAAATGGATGTCCTGAGGTTAAAAAATCATAAGGATTATCCCTTTTCTTAAAGGAACCACTGAAAAGTGAATGTGTACATTCATCAATATTGTCACCGAACAAACCATTTCTACATGTTAAGAACTATTTCCAACTTGCTTTCCAAGAATGTATCCACTAATGAAGACAATTCATGATGAAACTTGTTACTAGCTACATCCAAAGCCTGTGCCATATAATCGCCGAAATTACATACTTGTAACCAAGCGATTGGTGATAATTGAGGACAACATTGGATGTCACTGCTGGGGTCATTTATGTACATAATGTTTGTCATGACACTGCATTTTCGTCTGATTTATTGATACATGCCAGGATCTACCAATCACTTGGTTATTATAAATAAAACTGTTAAAGAGCCTTTTTAGGGGCTATAAGAGGTGTTTCCGTGCCAACCTTCAACCAGGATGTAAGTGATGGATAGGAACCACAGGGTGAGGTGCGATTAAGTACATTAACACAGTTTTTGCTACCAGATATGAAATAAGTGAGTAAGGATATTGCAAATGATATGATCGTGATGATTGTGGGAAGGACAGCAAAATATAGTGAGTGAGTGAATATTGCTTAACGCCGCATCAGCAATTTTGCAGCTATTCGCGGCGAGAAATGTCTTTTTCATAATCAGATATCAACCAATAGAATAAAAGTGATGTTGAAAATCACTAAAATCTCAGTCATATATCACATTCAGAGGTAAAAAACTGACTGTTCAGGTAAAAATCTATATTTTATCATAGAGCTTGATTTCCTTTAAATACGCTAAAATCAAGTGATTAGAAACTGTGGTAAAAAGTTCAGATAAGGTACGAACATTATCATAAAAACGTTGCCTGACAAGTGCAAAATCAACACATTCCAGCAGAATGTGTTTCATAGTAAGAGGGCTATGGCAAGGTATACAAAAAGGTGGATCTTCACCCTTCAATAAAAACGAATGTGTATAATAACTATGGCCAATTCGGCACCGCTGTAAAACAACCTCATCATGACGATGTAAAACAGAACATGCGTGACCTCCAATCTGTGGTTTGATAGCATGAAGTTTGTTCATAGTCTTGGTATTCCAACTTTTTTGCCAATGGTCATTCACATATTGTCTGATGGAAGGTTTTAGATCAGAATAAGGGAAGTTTGTGTTTGAAATTTGTTTATTTAGAGCGGCTTTTGCCGAAGAATCTGCTTTACAGTTACCACTGATGCCAACATGACTGGGCAGCCAACAAAAAATTATATCTTTTCCAGCTACGGATAAATTGAGATGACATCTTAAAATGTCAGCTAAAAATGGATGATCCACTTTTCGATTTTTGATGGCCTGTAAACAGGACAAACTATCAGATAATATGAGAAAACTGCTTTTAGAAGACTGTTCAATATATTGCAAAGCTAATAATATAGCCTGAGCTTCTGCCGTAAAGATCGAACTTCCGTCAGTAATACGTATAGACATAGTATAATTGTTAGCAACAGCTGCAGCAGACACCTTTTCATCATCTTTTGAACCATCAGTGTAAATACTGGTATAAGAGGAATATCGGATCTTCAGTTCATGAAATTCTTGTTGATAAAATAATTGATTAGTGTCTGACTTCTTCAGGTTCGCTAATTCTAAATTAACATCAGGTTGTATCGATTGCCAAGGAGGCATTTCTGAGATTTTGTATTCGGCAATGGCAGATAGATTTAAATGGGCATCCTTGATATGGGATTGCATGCGAATTCCAAGTGGTGGGATTGTGTTTGGTTTTCTGAGATATAAATGCTGATATGGAGCATTGAAGATATTGTTAAATGCTGGATTAGAAGTATGGGAGCGGAGTTTAGTGATATATTGTAATGCCAAGCAAAATATAGAAATTCCACACATCTTGATAACATGACAGTTTTCTTTGAAGAGTATGAGTAGTAGATATCAGTATTGTTATTAGGTCATTCGTAATAGAACTACTAGGATAAGTTAAGCTAGTGAGTGAGTTTGACGTCACATCGGCGGTATCTCAGCCATATAGTGACGAGAACAAATTGAAAGATAAATATGTCACAAAGGACAGTTCAACATTAGCATGGTATCGCAGATTGAAATCTAAAAACTAACAAAGTAAAAAAACACTAAAACCTCTAACCAACATATATACATCAACTTTACATTTGACATTTTTAAAATACGAGCTATATACCACCATGGCCAGACCACCTTATTGGGGACTTACAGTACTTTAGCTACCTGCATGAATCCACAGCAGGATTTAAGTCATAGCTCTAGTCACTGGTAGGTGTAGACAATACTAGCAATAAATTAAGACGCATTCAAAATATGAAATGTATTAAACTTCTAGTTCTCTGCAATGTACTAAATATTATGCGGATTTATGCGTAGAGAATAATATAAGTTATCAATTGGATTAGTTTAGTTAGTTAATTTGGAATTAGTTTGTATTTAAGTATTGTTATTGGGGTTTTAAGGGAGGGAATAAATCTTTTAAAAACTTAATTTGTGTTTATGGTTATTTCAACACGTGACAGATATACTCGACAAAATAAGGGGGGGGATTATGAAATATGAATTGTTTGATCGGTCGTCGGAAGAAAGAGCTTTGGAAAATGCTCACAAGGGATTCGACACTGTTTTTTTCCTGTGCGTGTCAGTCATAGATCATATTCAAAAGCAAAAAATAGTGAGTTAATATTTAACGTCACATCGGCAATATTTGAGCCATATCGTGACCAGAAGTTATATATTTAGATTAAATAAAAGCCTGTCATCGATGGACAGTAAAATAACTAGAATATCAGATTAAAAGAAAGCAAAAAATGTACTCCTGCAGATATAAAACTTTTAAACACTAAGGCCAGTTTAATACAGTATTTAAGGGTTTAAAACCATTTCAATATGCAACCAATCAAATGATGGTTGACGTAATTACCACGTACCCTTATGAATATACTACGGAATACACTTGCATATCAAATATAGCAAAGGCCAAATTTGCCCAGTTAAGTTTGAATTCAAAGGATTAAGAGCCAGTTCACTTTCAGCCAATCAAATCAAACATTCGATACAAAAGAGCACATTCGAAAACTTACTTTATTTTGTAAAAGCGCGACATTTCATCAAAAAGTGACGTGTCATTGTCGCGCTGTAATTATTACTGAATATTTTAACAAAGCCCAACAATTGCGAGATTTCATCAAACGCGCGTTTAATTTGTCACTGGTTATGGATGAACGAACCCAGTGACTTGATTTAAGCACATTTGTAATTGTTATGACTGAGTGAGTGAGTGAGTTTGGTTTAACGCCGCTTTTAACAGTAATCCAGTTATATCGCGGCGTGTCAGCTTAATGTGGGAGGAAAGCCCGAAATGATGCAGGTCTCAGACGTTTACCACTTCGGTGAAACCCATGAGCACAGG